CAGAAGAGAAAGAAAAATATAAATTTTTTCGTGTTTTTACATTTATGTAAGAAAAAAACAAAAGAGAAAATTTCTGACTCCATCGAATTTAATAATTTTTTTGGAATATATTTAGTTTTTTAGGAATGATGGATCTGGATAAAAGGTTGGAGAGATTATATGAGCTGAGAAAAAGATACATTAAAGATGTACAGTTCTTCAGATGTCACCTCCGAGAAGAAACCACTTTAAGAACACTTCAACTGAGGAAATCCATCAGAAAAGATATTTGTAGAAAAGATGTGTGGAAGATAGAGAGATTAATTTTGAAATCAGTCATTAGAAAGAAAGGTAAATCTATTGGATTTATATCAAAGCAAATTAACTCTCTTAAAAAAGATTTGAACCAAAATTTAATCTTAGATTCTTATAAAAATAAAAATATAAACTATATAACAAATAAAAATACTAAATTGGTTAAATTATTTGGTTATCCATTACAAGAAGAAAGTGTTGAATGGCAGAAAAATTTGGTCCTCAACTTATCATCGAAAGAAATACCAGAAGACTATATGCGGTTCTTATCATACGGAGCTGGTATGAATTTTACTTTTTCCAGTAAGATAATAAATACTATCGCAGATATTGAAGATGCAATTTTTCATTGTAACCTTCAAAAAGAAAAAAAAAGTTGAAATTAGAATAAAAATCTGTGAAGTCTGAAAAAAAATTATCATCAAGAAAGGGTGCATTCAGGATCATAGGGCAAGACATTATATAGGTAAATATAATAGAATTAATAAATTTATTAAAAAATATAATTTATGTTTATTAAAAGCAGATAAGTCAAATCACATAGTTATTATGGATTTACATGAATTAGAAAATAAGATACAAGCAATTATATCTGAAGGAAGCTTTGAAAGATTGGAGAAAGATCCGTTTATTGAAATACAATGAACATTAACAAAGATATTGAAGAAACTTGTGAAAGAAGGTTATATCCAGGCGAATCTAAGTAAAGAAATACTTCCAAAGGAAAATGTAAGAATTCCTAAATGAACTGTCAGAATTAAAACACAAACAAAATAAATGTAGACCAATCATAGACTAGATTCACATTGTTATATAACCTGGAAATGTTTATTAAGAAGTTATTACAGGATATACAAAACTCGAAATATACAGTTAAAAATGCTGATGACTTGATGATAATATCAAGATTACAAAAAGGCGTAATCTTACCTAATTATAAACTGATGAGTTTGGATATAACATCTATGTACCCTTCCATTACTAAACATATGATTTTGAGCAGTCTATGTAAGTATGGTGTCCCTGATTATTTAAAGGATTTAATTGTCTACATATTAGATAATAATTATTTTACAGTGAAAGAAAATTTTTATCGACAAACAGAAGGTATTTGTATGGGTTCCGTAATAGGACCAAAACTAGCCGAAATTTATATGCTGAATGTGGACATGATTTTATCAACGTTAAATGGAGTTAAGTTTTTTGCAAGGTACGTCAATGATATTTTGATAGTGTATGATAGTGCAGTCACAACAAATTTGCAAATTTTGGAACAAGCTAATAAAATTAATTTGAATATTAAGTTTACTCAAGAACATGAATTAAATAGTCAATTAAGTTACTTAGATGTAATAATTAAAAGATTTGAAGACCATTTGGAATATTGTACATTTGAAAAACCGTGTAACACGAGAATAGTAAGTAATTATAAATCATACTGTCCTTTAAATCAAAAATATAATGTATATCTGATGGAAATAACAAAGATTTTTTCTAGAACAACAAATATAGATGAAAGAGAAACAGAAATTGGAGATACACATAAGAAATATATTTTAAATGGATACCCAAAAAAATTATTAAATGATTGGTTTCATAAATTCTTAAGAAACACATTTAAAGTTAAACGTCGTCAAGAAATAACAAAGTATGTATCATTTCCGTATATAAAAGGTATTTATGAAAAATATAATAAGTTTTTTAACCAAAAATTAATTAGATTGGTTCCATCCTCAAATAACAGGTTATCAAATATGATGATTATAAGAAGTACTAAAAAACATTTATTGGAAGAAGAAGGTGTTGTTTATTGGATAGAATGCACGTGTAGCAACCCTAGTTTTTACGTTGGTGAAACAAAACGAAGATTAAAGATTAGACTGTCGGAACATTTGGTGCCGTAAGGTTAAAAATTAGTAATTCTCCTGTCTTCCAACATTGTAATAGTAATAATTGTCAGATAAATATTAATAAATTAAAAATAATTTTTAAGGAAAAAAATAATGTAAAGCGAAAGGTAAAAGAACACTTCGCTATAATTATGCAGAACAATAATGTAAATTTAAATACCGGAATGTTAACAGCAAAATGCTGGGAATTTTTTGTTAACCATATAAGTGGCTGTTCAATAAGTTGACTGTTAGAACACACTGTGTACTGTAAACCCCACTGAAGAGACCGTAGGCGAAATGCATTTGCGAACCTTGTTAGTAATAATGTAAATAAAAGTTTTTTCTCTGCAAATTATTTTCTTTTTTATACCTTTTTAACTCTTTTTTGGAAATTTTATAGTCATTATTGACTTGATATTTTTTAAAAATTGAAGTTATATATTATCCAAAAGTCAGAAGAGAAAGAAAAATATTAAAAATTTTTTCGTACTTTTACATTTATGTAAGAAAGAAACAAAAGAGAAAATTTCTGACTCCATCGAATTTTTAATTTTTTTGGAATTTATACTTCATTTGCATCTAGGCATAATACAGGTGTTACCATACTCATTAAAAAATGGATTCCTATACAGGACTTTAATTCTGCCCTTAGAGTCTGTTTTATTGCTGTAGACATTAAGATTGGCCCTAGGCCCATAAGAATCATTGGTCTATATGCCTCACCCATCATCGCTGAAAGAAAAGAGAACTTTAACGTATTAACCAACTTCTTAGCAGTAAATAGAGATATTATATTAATGGGCAACTTCAACATTGTTCTATCAACACTGGATAAAAATACCCCCTTACTACCTGACACTTCTCATAGCATACTGAACAAATATTATAAAAGACTTTATGCTAGTTGATGTTTATCGCACAAAATACTCTCACAATACAGACTACACTTGGTCTTCGAGAGGTATTGCTGTGAGATTTGATAGGATTTACATGATGAAAAATATTGGTAAAATAAAAAACATTCTTAACTATAATCTTATACATAATGGTAATAAAATTTCTGATCATAAGATGGTAGAACTAGAATTAGTATTAGGAAACAACATACATAGGAAAAGTAATGTAAAAGTTATAAAGGAAATCTTAGATGATACCCTTTTTTGTTCCAATGTTGATAGAATATTACATATACAAGAAGAACAAATAACATGGGATAAATGGATTCATATTAAAGAAGAAATCAACAAAGAAATTCATCTTGCATGGAAAACAGTAAAAAAAAAAAATTTTTAATAAATTAAACTCCTTACAAAGGGATTTAAGTCATAATATCATTAAAAATGATTTGGTAGAGATCAAAAGGATCCAAGACGAAATTAGCAAGTAAATAGATAATAAAAAATACGAAAATTATAACAAATATTGTATGAACAAATTAAAAATAAAACGTAAAACTGAAAAAACACTTTTTGAAAGAAAAAATAGTGTTAAGGAAAAAGTATTGATCGAAAAACTAATTGTAAATAGTAGGGTAATCACAGAAAGAGACAAAATTATTGAAGAATTTACTAATTTTTATTCTGCACTCTACAAAGATCCTGACACTAACGATTTGTTATGGAAAAAGATGTCATCCTATATTGACCCCATTAAAGAAAAAAGTGATAATATAATCAATAAGGAAATTACAATTGACAACATTCGTGAGGCTATTCAAGAGCTATGTACACATAAAGCTCCGGGTATAGACAATTTACCTGCCGAATTCTTTAAATTCTTCAATGAACGCTTAAGTCTGATCCTTTACAAATTGTTCAACCAAAATGTTTTTAATGATACCTTCTGTAGCAGAAGGATGTTTTTAATAAATAAAGTAAATGGTATAGGTTTTCCTTTAAATGATTATAGGCCAATTACGTTACTAAACCTTGATTATAAAATTTATACCTCTATCATAGCTGAAAGAATATAATTCATTTTTAGAGACAAAATAACTCCAACACAAACTGCAGGTATTAAAAATAGAACCATCCAAAATAATATCATGTTTATGAAATTCATTATTGACATGTATACTGAAAATAAACTTCTGCTTTCCATCCTCTCCATAGATGTCGAAAAGGCATTTGACACTATTAATAGAAAAGTCCTATGGAAACTACTCGAACACTATGGCTTCAACTCTAACGAAATTGATAAAATCAAACTTCTTTATCACCTTCCAAGTACACAAATAAACATCAATGGTAAATATTCTAGTGATGTCATGTGTAAAGCAGGGGTACGCCAGGGATGCCCATTGGCCATGATCCTTTTTACAATTTATATTGAACTATTACTAAAAAATGTTCAATCTGAAAAGTTAATTACTCCTATCCATATTCCAGGATCGAATCAAAATATTAAATTGATTGCACATGCAGACGACATTACCTTCTTTCTTACAGACAAACCTGCTCTGAACAAAACAATTGAAAAAATAAATCAATTTAGATCCTTAACAGGCATGCAAATAAACCAAAACAAATGTAAAGTAATGAATATCTATGGCAGTTTAAACTGTGATAACATGCAATTTGAGCAAGTTGACAAAATTAAAATTCTAGGTATCTGGTATGGACATTATGGATACAATAAAAATCTTAAGCAAATAAAAGATAAAGTGAAAAAAGCCATAGATGATTGGAATATTTATTATCTATATTTACCTGAACGCATAATCATAGCAAATAAAGTTATCATAGCTTGTCGAATGTATACCCTTAATGCTATAAACTTAAAAACTGTAGAGGCAAATAACATAGAGCATATTATCTTTAACTACGTACAGCAAAGCTCATTTGAACCCTTAAACCGTAACATTATGAAAAATGACATCTGTGGAGGAGGATGGAAGATTTGGGATCTCAATTGTCTCGAAGACTCCCTCCAACTATCTAATATGATTAACGTTCTCAAAACAAGAAGCCGTCCCCTTGATAATTTTGTCCTATACATATTAGGCTCAATAGTGTGGAGATTCACTCATGCTGATGGATGTAGACCCTTTCTTGTTAAAAACAATAAGCAATACAAAAAATGGAGAACTTATTTACATGATATTTGCAATAAAAATGACCAAATTATAACTAGTGATGAGAAAGTCAAACCAAACACTATTTACAATAAAATACACTAACAACCCTAACATTGTAACATATTAACCCTAATATGTTACAATGTTCTTATAACTGGTCTGAAATCTGGAGAAATATTGAAGCCCTCCCCGCTGAATGGAGGGAAATCTTCTGGAGGATTTTAAAGAATATAGTTATGACAAAGTACTATCTACGTTTACACAATATAACAATTTACGCAGGCTGCTCATGCTGTCATCGTGATGAAAACATATTTCATATATTTTATGATTGTCAAATAGCAAAACAAGTTTGGTCATGGATTAATAAGATATGGAAAATTAAATTAAATTGGATAAACATTAAATATCACATAAATTTCATAGTCAGAAATCAAAATAAATATATGTTAAATTGGATGTTAGATCTTATAAAAAGATTACTTTGGAAATCGAGATGTATACTAACTTTTGAAAAAAAGAAATGGAATGCGAGTCTGTTAGTCACAAAAATAAAGCAAGAAGCATGCTTAAAAATTCAAAGTGATAAGGAAAGCATGACAATAAGCGAATTCAATGTAAACTATTGGGGTACCATTGACATCATATGGAAAATTGAAAATATGATAAAATTCAATGACGAATGGACTTAATATAATTTTATGGCTTAATCATAAAGTTATTAATTGTATCAACTGTTAGATGGACTGATTGTATTCTGAATAAATTGTACAAATATCCTTTATAGGTTGGCTTCGTCTTAACAAAAACCAAAGCATATCATGATGAAAGCTATCATCAGATTCGGTTCCTATCTCAATATAACCAAATTGTAAATACAATTGTAAATAATTATCACTCTGTAACATACTTGTTATAAATTTGTAAATAACAATTATATGCTATCCTTCCTTCCATATGTTTTTTTCTGTTTAAAACTTTATAAAGAAAAAAAAATAAAAAAAAAAGAAAAGTTGTACTTTGTATTAATCTAATAATTATATATTCTTGTTCATGATTTGTTTGTAAACTTTTGTTCACATGTCAAAAGTTATTCATGTAAATAATTTCATTGGTTTTTCTCTTGTCATAAAGTTCAACTGATAATTGTTATGTTAAAAGATTATAATCTTAAAACATTATAATCCAAATAATTTATATAATAGGAATAATTTGTAAATCAACTTTGTACATGTGGCATGTTTTTAAAACATTGTAAATAATTATCTGTAAATATTATTTTATGATATAAACAAATATTTGTAAAAAATCCTATGTAAATAGGTATATGGAGAAACAGAATGCTGTTACCTTCTACATGTAATCTGATGAATATCTGTATCTATTTTGTACTCTGAAACATAAGTTATGTTACAAAGAAAGCGAACATGTGTTCCATGTAAAGCATAAGTAAGATAAAATAAACTTTAATTAACAGCATAAGGTGTACAGTGATACAATTTTTCAATGTATGGATCGGATATCAAAAGAGGAGTGGTCACCCAAAGTTTGGGTTTACCGAGGACCGACCATTCGGAAATCGGTCACCGATTTTTTGGATCTGAAGGTGTCATCTTCTTTGAGGAAAGGCCGTGAGTACTGTGGAAAGTTTTGGGGATGTTAAGTTCAAAAAATGTGTGAGATATGGAGATTTTTATGCTGATACTTCGCGGTCTTCAAAAGGCCACATCGGGCCAGTACTACTGGTTAAGTAAAAGCTATTGAGTGAANCTGAAACATAAGTTATGTTACAAAGAAAGCGAACATGTGTTCCATGTAAAGCATAAGTAAGATAAAATAAACTTTAATTAACAGCATAAGGTGTAGGGGAGGGTGGGGATGAAAGGGACAAGGGATGAAAGGGACAGTCTCTATATCTTGCTGCTAAATTACTTATGGAGCTTTTTTATTTCACAGATAGATGACACTAGTAGTCCATAGTTTTCACACGTTTGTAGGGTCCAATACACTAGCGCCAGTGTTTGGAATTCCCAGATAAGCAGAAAACACATGCAAAAGTAAGTTTTCTTCATTTTTTACATTTAGGGGTAAAATCTCAAACATGGTCATTGGATAATGTACTTGAATTGGGATAATTACTTCGAAACCTCTAGAATATGTTTTTTTAATCGGTTTTAAATTATATTTCACTGTCAGAAAGTCAGGTTGTAGTTTTGGTTGCTTGAGGCCTGGGGGTTGAAAGGGACAGTAAAATAGGGGATGAATGGGAC